AGATATTTACCAATCAATTCGCAATAGCTATTTGATATCCATGTTACTTTTCTAACAATCTGAATATATAAAACCTTTGTAGTACCATTGCCGAGAAGTGCGAGGAAGCCAAGGCCTCGAACTCGTGGAATTTTGCTTGACAAAATGAGCAAATCAATGAGAGGATTGAGGGTGCTCATCTCTATTGCTAAGGGGAACAGAAAGGCCACATGATCCAACGCAAGTTGCCAAGCTTGCCTTAGAGGTAGGTGTAGTAGTCAGGCATCAAATACCAATTTTGACACATTGGAAACATTACAAGAAGCCCTCCGGTGTCGTCCATTATAGGAATTTTGTGAAGAGGCTAACTGTATGTATGGGTATCTTCTCTTGACATTCAACTCTGTTTTGACCAACTTTAACAGATTTACTTTTCATTCACACTACTGCGTGCAGTCAAGGCTGGACATTGACAAGGCTCACCCACCAACACAAGAAGCTTGCTAGAATGTATTGCAGTGTGGTGTACGGCAGACACGCTATAGGTTGAAGCAAACCTACTTCAATGGCGTCCTTGCTAATCTAATCCGTACAGCCTCTCCTGTCCCGTGCATGAGCGATGCACAGTGGTGTAAACTTGTCGAGACTTAGTCTAGTGCTAAGAACATGGTGTGTGTGAACCCATCGATTTTCTGTCTAGTCTTGCTATGGTCTACTTGTGTTGTAGTCTAACACAATTGAAGCTATAGGAAACTTATGAGACGAACAAGCGAAACCGTGCAAAAGTGAAGTACCACTAGTCTACAGGATCTTGCTCCTATGTTGTCCAGCTGCAAACATTTGTAAGTGATGGTTATGTTTTATTGTTACTCTTGCCTTTGTATAAATATAAACAAAAACTCATGTGTAATGTGAATAGAAGGAGAATAAGAGGAAGGCCGCAGAACACGATCAAGGACTTGATGAACAACATGATAATCTAGGACTTGAACAACATGGTTGACCTGATGAAGATGTTAATGTTGTGGAAGTCTTCTAGGACTTCCATACCAGTACGAAAAAGGACCTGAGCGATGCTGCAAGAGCAACAATTGTAAGTACGTTTATTTACTTTCCTTGAAATCTACTGAACCCATTGCCATAAAAGAAGAAAACACAGCAGGTGCCTAATGTGGCAACATCATTTAATTTTGTAGTTACAATTTTAAACCAATCAATATGATACATATACATTATGCTTATGTAATCTCTATCGGCAGTAAGCTACAAAAGACCTATGCATTGTGCTTATGTAATATCTATCAGTAGTCATCTTAGGAAGTCCTATGCATTACTTGTTGTGAATTAATGTCTTGGGTTTTTAGTTGAAGTTCTCTTCCACTATCTATAACCTAATGTTTTACTGATTGAATTTCGCAGGAAGCTATGAAAGCTATACAAGCAAAACCTATTGCTGATGGGCAGCAACCAATGAGTAGTGTTGATGTTGTTTCAAAGGTCCTCTGCCTCAACCAGGGCAAGCGCCCCTTCTAGGCAAGCAGCAAAAACCTTTTTTTGAAGAATGCTGGTATCCTGAGAAGCTCCAACAGAGTAGAGACATCGGCGGAGATGACACTTCGGGAGCAGCTTGCTGGTGAACAGGAAAGTACATCTAAGCTCGTCGAACTAGTGGATGAACTGAATGTGAGGACAGAAAAGGCTGAAGGAGAGATTGAGGAATTCAAGCAACATCAACAGGAGGAGTATAATAGGCTCTGTGCGCCAGTCATGCGCTTAAGCTCTCCTAGTAATTAACTCTCAGTCTTCAACTCCTGCGGCTTGATACGGTGAACATTTATGGTCTGTTGTGTGGACGCATGTGATGGTTTGATGTTGTGATACTCTGTCAATGGTTCGCTACTGACGTATGAAATGTTAATTCTGGTTATTTGATTGTCAGGCTGAACTGTTATGTAGTCAATCTGTGCAGTAATGACGATCTCGAATTACTTATATGACAAATTGATTGTACTACACGTGATAGAACCAGGACATGCCATGTGATAAAATAAAAAGATGACACGTGGACCAACCAGTTCATGACACGTGAATTGGCCAGGGCACGACACGTGGGCTATTAAAAATCTAACACGTTGATGGAAATCGTCAAGCCACGTGGCCGAATAAAAATACGACATGTGGATGGACAGTGCCGTGACACATGGTCGAATAAGAAACAGCCACGTGGACTAATAAAAATACGCCACATGATCCAATGAAGAAATGACACGTGATCCAACAGCAACACGACACGTGTGCCCATAGAAAACTGACATGTGGAACAACAGGAATACGACACGTGGTCCAGTAAGAACCTGAAATGTGCAAGAACTAGAGATGGCCATGTTGTGCAATAAGAAAATGACACGTACCCGAATCATCTCCAATGCAACCGGCTATAGCATGTACACGTGAAAAGCATCTCCAACGGAAGCACCCACTAGCGTGGCAGCCTTCCTGCCACGCATGCCAAAATAGTTATATGACGTTCTGTTTTCGTCACAGATCACGCCACTTCTATAACGCTTTGCGAAAATCATCATAAAATTTCAAGTATAATGCGACTTCTATGATAAATCGGTTTTCGTCATAAATTCGTCATAAAACTGAAATTATGACGAATTTGGCTCCTTCAGTGACGAAAACATATCGTCATAGAAGTAGATATTCCTAGTAGTGCTGCATCGTCCACGATGTATGCCGAGTTTGTAGCATGTTATGAGGCCACGGGGCAGGTGAACTGGCTAAAGAAATTTATGCCCGGGTTAAAAGTGGTCGACGACATTCATAGGCCACTCAAGTTGTACTGCGATAATGCGCCAGTAGTGTGTTGTGTTCACAATAATAAGTCAAGTAGTGCTGTCAAACACATTGACATAAAGTTTTATGTTGTAAAAGATAAAGTCTGGGATCATTCTATTAGTCTCGAGCATGTAAGTATAAAAAAATGCTTGCGGATCCGCTTACAAAAGGCTTATGGCCCAATGTGTTCAGAGAACACTTAGTCGGCATGGGTCTACGGGAAAGCCTATGATCCCGGGACAATAAAGGCCTAGTTGAGAATCTGTTTCAAAACATAGAGGTGTATTTGTAGCTGTTAATCTAATGGTACTAACTGTTATGATGATGCATGCTCTATGCACTAATCTGCGATGAAATGTAAAAAGATAAAGTGATCTAAGTCATAAGGTGAGATCAAGGGGGAGATTGTCAGTGTTGATCTCCTCCGACTCGGCCCAATGGTTGAGTCGGGCTCTGATTCGTGCTCTGATCGGGGGCGCCCAACCAAATCATGGTTGGTGGGCTCCTGTCGCGCAGCGGCATATAAAGGAGGTGGGGGCCGAGGCTCGTGGTACGAGGTTCACTTGATGCCGCCACAATCTCCACCTATAAACTCTAAACCGATCTAGAGGGGTCCTGACAACGATGGGAAGAGCCGCCACCATCTTCACCGCTGCGAGCTGACGCCCGCGTCCTCACCACCATCTGCATCGAGCCACTGCCGCCTTCACCACCTCGGCATTCTCTCTGGCGACCGTTACCCCATCACCGACCTCGCCACCGACGCCTTGGCTAGCAGCTCCTCCAAGCCGATGGTCAACCACTTCTATCCTCTCTCTCTAGTTCATGTTCTAGGTCAAACTACTTGTTTTATCCTGAATAGAAGCGAAACCACCCACTGAACTACGCCTAAATGATTCAAGATTTTCTAACAATATCTAGACAGTCGATTTACCACAAGAAGCAAAGAGCCATTTAACAAGCATCTCGACTCGAGTTTATCCCGGCCGAGATGATGTCACCACTTTGAGTCTTGGCTACCAAGCTATGATGGGCTATATGGCGAGGACGTGTTTGTCTGCTGTTTATCATGTCCATTTATGGTGGAAATGGAATAATGTGACGAGGTAGTGCGTTTTGAAATCGGAGTCCTAGACACGAGCAACACATCGCTGCACATATAAGTCGAAGGTACCGTAGATGTTGAAGGAGCCACATCTCGACCACGGCGCGCGTGACGCGGGTCTAGAGGATCGATCCGTCGCTTTTAATTTCGCTTTCTGGTTGGTTCACATGTCGGTCTCGGAGTATTTATACGTACATACGTATACGACATATATATAGGCATCTCTCTGAACGAACTTACGTAATTTCTTCCACTACTTGCACGTATCTCTGTCTCGAGACAATTAGGTCAAAAAGAAATATTATGTGTAGATACAAGAGATGGCTACCGGCCAGGCGGCGCTGTAGTGTACCTAGTAGTCTATAAATATGACATGTATGTCACCGACCGGAGAAATGAAATTTAAATAAAGACATGTCATGTGTTGGAGTTGTTCCAAATTCACTTTAGGATATAGGCTGGGTTTCTGACGGAGCGGAGCGGAGGCCCATCGCCGGAGGCTTGGGCCGGAAGCTTGGTACGGTACGGTATATACACCCTTGCTAGGATTTCATGGAGACTTAATTCTCAGTATCACCACAACGGATAGCTTCTTTATAGGTTGCTGGCTCATGAATATTCTCCACCTGTTCAGCACAACTCAAAGCATAGTAAGACAAATTACACTCTTCAATAAGACGCTTAGGAGGTGCAATTGTCCTTTTTGACTTGCATTGAGCAATAGGTAAATCCTCCTCTAAGCGCAAAATAGGAGGAGTTTGTTTGAACATCATCATGAGCATCATCCTCAAAGAACATCATTATCATGGTCACCATGCTCATCAACAGAGCTCCACACACACTTTATCATCATCAACATGCTCCACCTACATGCGCATACTGCTGCAGCTCTCTTTTTCTCGAACATGATCCGAGGGCAAGCGTCCGATAAACATCACAGATTCATTGAAAACAACACTCCTGCTCATAAAAGTCTTTCCTGTTTCAGATTCCACAATTTATAGCCTTTGACTCCCGAACTATAACCAAGGAAAAAGACACTTAACACTCTAGGCTCTAATTTTCCATTATCAACATGAGCATAAGCGATTGCATCCAAAAACTTTCAACTGTGAATAATCGTGAGCGTGCAGACCATACCTCAATGGGAGTTCTTTTATTTAGTGGAATAGAAGGCGACACATTTATCAAGTAACAAGTGGTATCGAGCTTTGGTTGTTTGTTAGGGTTCATGACGACGTCGATGAAGTTCGATCTTCATTCTTCGAACTACGACACGCGGTTCTCGCTATGGCAAGTCAAGATGCGGGGGATTCTGGCGTAGACTCATGACTATGATGAGGCGCTGGATAGTTTCGGAAAGAGGAAGGCCGAGTGGACTCCAGAAGAGATCCGCAAGGATCAGAAGGTGCTCGCCCTAATTCAGTTGCATCTTCATAATGATATTTTGCGGAGTGTCTCGAAAGAGAAAATAACTGCAGAACTATGGCTAAAAGCGGAATCGATCTGTATGTCCAAGGATCTAACCAAGAAGATGCAGATGAAGATGAAGTTTGTTCACCACGAAGATGAAGGAGGAGGATTCATGATGAGCCACATTGCTTTGATTCAAGAAGATCGTCGCCGACCTAGTGTCGATGGAGGTGAAGTATGATGATGAGGACTTAGGTCTTTTCTTTGCTATGTTCTTTGCCAAATTTGTATGCAAATTTTTGTGACACCATACTTTTGAGCCGTGATGAACTAACCTAAAGGAAGTTTATGAGGCTCTCCGATCTAGGGAGAAGATGAGAGGCATGGTGCGTAATGACGAGGCGTCGTCCTCTAAGGGCGATGCTTTGCATGTGAGAGGCGAATCGAAAAGATCCTCCAATGATGACAATGATGGAAGAAAGAACTACGAAAGGAGAGGCCGTTCAAAGTCCAAGCCGCATGGTAATAAAAAGTTCTATGTTTATTGCAAGCTGACAAATCATAATGTTGAGGATTGCAGAAAAGTACAGAATAAGGAGAAGAGGAAAAACAAGTCGGCTGGTAAGGTCTCTGTTGCTGCTGCTACGTCTGATGATGATTCTGGAGATTGTCTGGTAGTATTTGCTGGTTGTGTTGCTGGTCATGATGAATGGATTCTCGATTCCGCATGTTCATTTCATATTTGCACTAACATAAATTGGTTTAGCTCGTATAAGCCTGTGCAGAAAGGGGATGTTGTGCGGATGGGAGATGATAACCCGTGTGACATTGTGGAGATTGGATCAGTTCAGATCAAGACTGATGATGGCATGACACGCACGCTGAAAAACGTCAGGTATATACCAGGGATGTCCAGAAATCTTATCTCATTGAGCACGCTTGATGCAGAAGGTTACAAATATTCCGGTTCAGATGGCGTTCTGAAGGTATCAAAAGGTTCTCTTGTTTGCTTGAAAGGTGATCTTAATTCTGCAAAGTTATATGTCCTTAGAGGGTGTACTTTACCTGGTTTTGATTCCGCTGTTGCTGCTGTTACTAATGATGAACCTAGTAAAACTAATCTTTGGCATATGCGTTTGGGACATATGAGTCATCATGGTATGGCAGAATTGATGAAGAGAAACCTGCTTTGGATGGTCGCACTTGAGTAAAATAAAGTTTTGTGAGCATTGTATTTTCGGGGAAGCATAAAAGGGTACATTTCAACACTACATTCACACCACTAAAGGTACTTTTGATTATGTTCATGCTGATTTATGGGGCCCTTCCCGTAAGTCCTCACTTGGTGGTGCTCGTTACATACTTACAATTATTGATGATTACTCTAGAAGGGTTTGGCCTTATTTTCTGAAATAGAAAGATGATACTTTTGCTGCTTTTAAGGACTGGAAAGTAATGATAGAAAGGCAAACTAAAAGGAAGGTAAAATTGCTTCGTACTGATAATGGTGGAGAATTTTGTTCGCGTGAATTTAATGATTATTGCGGATCGAAGGCATTGTTAGGCATCACACCATACCCCATACTCCACAACAGAATGGTGTGGCGAACGCATGAAACAGAACCATCATGTCCAAGGCCCGTTGCATCTTTGTCTAATGCCGGGATGAGCAAGCATTTTTGGGCTTGAAAGCCGCTAATACTTTTCATACTTAATAAACAGTCGCCTTCTATTCCACTAAATAAAAGAACTCCCATTGAGGTATGGTCCGCACGCGCTGCTTGATTATTCACAGTTGAAAGTTTTTGGATGCACTTTGCTTATGCTCATGTTGATAATAGAAAATTAGAGCCTAGAGTGTTAAGTGTCTTTTCCTTGGTTATAGTTCGGGAGTCAAAGGCTATAAATTGTGTAATCCTGAAATGTAAAAAGACTTTTATGAGCAGGAGTGTTGTTTTCAATGAATCTGTGATGTTTATCTTGACGGTTTGCCCTCGGATCATGTTCCAGAAAAGAGGCTGCAGCGTGTATGCGCATGCAGTGGAGCATGTTGATGATGATACAGTGTGCGGTGGAGCCTATTGATGAGCATGGTGACCATGATAATGATGTTCTTGAGGATGATGCTCATGATGATGTTCAAAGAAACTCCTCCTATTTTACAGTTAGAGGAGGATTTACCTATTGCTCAACGCAAGTCAAAAAGGACAATTGCACCTCCTAAGCGTCTTATTGAAGAGTGTAATTTGTCTTACTATGCTTTGAGTTGTGCTGAACAGGTGGAGAATGTTCATGAGCCAGCAACCTATAAAGAAGCTATCCGTTGTGGTGATCTTTGAGAATTGGATTTCTGCTATGCATGAGGAGATCTGAGTCTCTTGAGAAGAACGATACATGGGAGATTGTACCTTTACCTAAGAATAAGAAGACCATCAAATGCAAATGGATCTTCAAGAGAAAGGAGGGTTTATCTCCAAGCGAGCCTCCAAAGTATAAGGCAAGGTTAGTTGCTAAAGGCTACAGTCAAATTCCGAGAGTTGACTACAATGATGTGTTCTCTCCAGTGGTAAAACACAGTTCAATTCGTACTTTTCTTAGTATTGTTGCTTCACATGATCTTGAGCTTGAGCGGTTAGATGTGAAGACTGCGTTTTTTTGCATGGAGAGCTTGAGGAGGACATATACATGGACCAACGGAAGGGTTCATAGTGCACTGCAAGGAAAAATATGTGTGCAAGTTGAAGAGATCCTTGTATGGTTTGAAACAGTCCCTCGTCAATGGAACAAGAGGTTTGATTCATTTATGTTAGCACATAGTTTTAAAAGATCTAGATCTAAGTATGATAGCTGTGTTTTTACATCAAGCATGTTAATGGATCACCTATATATTTGCTTTGTTATATGTTGATGATATGTGATTGTTGCCAAGAGTAAGATTGAAATCACTAAGTTAAAGAAGCTATTGAGTAGTGGTTTTGATATGAAAGATCTTGGTAGTGCTAAGAAAATTCTTGGTATGGAAATTAGTAGAGAAGAAAATCTGGTTTGCTATTTCTTAGTCAACAAAATTATATCAAGAAAGTTCTTGACGCTTTCAACATGCAAAATGCTAAGGCTGTTTAGTACCCCTATTGCACCTCACTTTAAGTTATCAATTTGCTCGGTGTCCTAGTATAGATCACGATTGAATACATGTCAAGGGTTCCTTATTCTAGTGTCATTGGGTCTTTGATATATGCCATGGTTTGCTCTCATCCAGTTTGTCATATGCTATGAGTCTTGTTAGTAGATATATATCTAATCCTGGCAAAGAATATTGGAGGGCGATTCGGTGGATTTTCAGTACCTCGGAGGCACAAAGCAGATTCTGTTTAAAGTTTGGAAAAAGCGATAAGGGTCTTATTGGCTATGTGGATTCTGATTATCTTTGCTTGATCTGACAAAGCGAAGATCACTTACAGAGTTATGTGTTTACTGTTGGCGATTGTCTTTGTGAGTTGGAGGCTACTTTACGATCGATTTGTTGCTTTGTCTACTACTTTGAGCGAGAATATATGGCTATTTGTGAAGCATGCAAAGAATTAATTTGGTGAAAGGTTTGTATGCAATTTGAGCTTTGTGGAGTTGAATCTTGCATAAGTTTGCCTTTGTGATAGGTCAAAGTGCAATTTACCTCACTAAAGATCGAGATGTTCCATGAGAGAACTAAGCACATAGATATCAAGTATCATTTTGTGCGTGATGTGATTGAAGAAGGTAAGCTAAAGGTATGCAAAATTAGTACTCATGATAATCCTGCTGATATGATGACAAAGCCTGTTCCTGTTGCTAAGTTTGAGCTGTGCTCAAGCTTAGTTGGTTTAATTGGATAGTCTAAGAGACTATTGTTGGCACCAGTGGTTTTCTATCTTTGTTATGTTCAGGATGAAGGGTTGATTTATGATACAAGATGAATTTGTCTCAAGGTGGAGTTTATTGGAGTTGTTCCAAATTCACTCTAGGATATAGGCTAGGGTTTCGTGGAGACTTGATTTTCTTGTAAGCCGCCATAGGCGTGTAACCCAAAACTCTTGAGATAGTGAGATTGTTGCTGGCTGGTGCCCGTGGTTTTTCCCCTTCACATTGGAAGGGTTTTCCACGTTAAATCGTGTGTCTCCTCTGTGGCTTGATTCTTTACTTCATATTCCTATACGTCGTTCTAACATCATGTGCTCCCTACCTCACCCTAAAATGATGCAATTATATATGTATACCAAGTCGGTCTATATCAACTTTATATCAAATATATATACAAAGTTTTTTTAAGAGCCACCCACACGAGTATGCCGGGCATGTATTAATAGAGAAGAAGCAATTACAATAAAAAAACAAAAATGACAACAACCTCACCCAGGAGGCAACAACAAAACCACTACCGCAAGACACACAAAGCCCACAAACCTCGGAAACAACAACTATCAAACAACACTCTTCACGCTAGAGAGCACAAGCAATGTAAACTAGTAGGGGGAGTAAGTTTTCCGCAGCGAAGCCTCCAAGGAGGAGAACGACATCCATAGATGCCATCAACGCCAAATGGAGAGCCAAGATTTTTCAACCAAACTCGTAGAGGGTAAGGGGGGACCTCACGACAATGCCTCCAATGAGGGACATACAACCAAAGGTGTCACCATTGTCGGCCAAACCCAAGGGCCTAGAAGGGCTTTCGCCCGATAACCCCCGACACCCAAGCCCAAACCAGTCACATCGAGGGCGACCACAACCAACCGCCACCGCCACTAGTAGGAGATCGCTACGGCACCGATAAGATCACAGGCATGCGATACCTGCCGCCGCCACGCCAGCCCACAAGGGCCGCCTCCATCCTACATGGCACCGGCCACCGTGGGAAGCCACATCTTGTTCCTGCACGTAAAGAGCCCCGCCAACACCGTTGCACATCGACGCCCCACAAAGCGCCTAGAGTAACCACAAGCATCCCCGCACAAGCCGCCGTCTTCAACGAGCCACCATCCGTTGGTTGTCGCAGCGGCGGTGAGCCGGCCACAGGCATGTGTGTCCAGTCACAACCACGCTGGTCGTCATAGACCACAGCCAACCAAAAGATACCAACCCGCTGCAGATCGCTCCTGGAGGAAGCACGCCACTCCACTAACCATTTGCACCGAGCGCCGCAACCGAACCCTTCCACCGAACACCCCAGATAGCAGTAGGTATGCATTGTTGCCACCATCGTAACCAAAGCACCTCGCCATACAAACGAGCCACCATGACCCCCTCGAAACTGACCATCGCTAAAGCGAGGCCAGCCGCCGTAGCCACGGCCGAGGAGAGACGCCATAGGTCAGCTGCCGCTGCCACATCCAAGATGCTCGTCCAAACCAGCACAACTTGATGTAGCGTCGGTTGTTGGAACCGTTGTCAACCTGACGAATGCCGGCCACCATGGGAAGCTCCAACATGGAACAAGGAAACCCCTGGGGAGCAGCCCCTTGCAGAGCTGCGCCACCTCCACCAATAGGCTGGGCTACTGCTGCCCAAGCATCAGCACCACACCCTCAGCTGCGTCCGCGACCGAGAGCCTGTCCGCATCCGCCTCGGCTAGCACAACGGACGACAAGGAGGACGACGTGGAGGAGCCGAAGGAGCCACCACCGTCACACGTCCACGCTGTAGGACCCGCAACTGTAGCCCACCTCAGCGCCGAAGCGCCCGCAATCGCCGCCGCCCACTGTGCCACCTATGGCAGAACTGTCCGAAATAACACGATTTCGGAGGCTTTTGTCTTCCACTAGACACTAAGCACCCCGAAAAATTAGCTACATCGGACAGTTCCATCGAGCACACTCTACGGGAGAACTCGAATCAATCCACGTTTTACCTCCAAAATCCAATAATGAGTACGAGCTTACAATACTTAGTCCATTTCATACAACAAGAGTTATTGAAAATTATTTATTACAATACTAGGGTTCAGAGTGCGATAATTAAACAACGAAATAAAAATAAAACATCTAGCGAAAATAATACAAGGATCCATCTATGTCCACTAGAAGAATCCTCCACACAAGAGCTACTCCTCAAGTTGCACCTGCAACAGGGTAAAATAAAACCCTGAGTACACAATGTACTCACATGACTTAACCGACCAGTGAGAATAGTTTCCAGACTCCAAGGGTATGATAGGCAATATGGGTTTGTTGTTTTCTTT